TGCCTATGCAGGGGGTCAGACTCGATGATCTATTGAGGTCCCTTCCGACCTTAACATCTATGAATCTATAGCCAGCTCAGCACCTACAAGACAGGTAAGCAGAGCTTAGCCTGCATCTGAGTACTCTCTAGCTGCAATAGGCAAAGTGACAGAGTAGTTGTGATATCCTGCTGCAGATCTAGAGGGGCAAGTTCAAGCTTTGCTACACAAGCGAGCACTCTAGTATTGACCACTCTAGCGGACCCAGCTAGAAAAAAGTACCTACCCATGCAGGCTGCGGACTCCAAGGTGGTTGGATGTGATGACAGCTACAGCACTCCCTTGTGTGCCTTAACTGTTAGCCCAATGGATTGGTGAACTCTGGACCTTCCAACTGGGTGTCTAGCCCTAGCATCTGCCCATTGCCACTGTTCTCTGCATGGGGACAGAAAAGTGCTTGCTTTCATTTTAAAGGTCCTTGCTGCTCTGTGCTCCCACCAGAGAATGGGCCTGACACATTGCGCAAGATCCTTGATTTCTGTGACTGTCTTTAGTTTGCAGGGAAGTTCATTCTACAGCCTCAGGCTAGCCCCTGAGAAAGTGCCAGTTCCCCAAAGATGGGCGTGACACTAACATTTTGCTGTGTAACAGGAACAATCTTCAATCATCTTCATCACAGAGTTTCTGCTAATGGGCTGCAGGAAACCTTGAAGGATTGACACTTGACTACATGTCCTGCAGGAAGTGATACAGGGAGCAGAGGACAGGAGCAATGGTCTCAGAGTAGCTCACTTGCCTGAGGAGTGTTCTGTCCCTGATGAAGCTACCCCAGGGCTGAAGGCTTCACACCTAGGTGTAGTGCACTGCTGCAGGCCAGCTGAGTGGTGCCACAGGTGCGGAAGCCTGATGCTACGTCACTGTCCACCAGGTGAGGATGGACGTTTCTGGCTGAGTGCAGATGGCAGGGAGTGCCAGTCAAGCATGTTGCTCTGAAATAGCCCCAAGAAATTCCAGAGAAACTATGGGTGAATTCACCAGCCATGGGTGCCCACCTTTGACCCAAGGAGACAGCCTGAAAACTCCTTCAAGTGTTCCCCTCTCTCCACCTGCAGCACTTCTACTTTGCTTGGGTTCATTTTAAACCAGCTTTCTTCTCTCATAAGATGCTGTAATCCAAGTCCTGGGCCATCTTGGTACTGGGGATGGAAGCAGGTGGTAACACAGATGCTGCTCTGAGCCATGCTGAGGAGCATGACCACCCTATGTTTCCTGCTGCTGACACACAGCACCATGATGGGCATTTGCTGCCTTTGCCTCCAGCTGGAATCCCATGTCTGGATGATTGTTCTTCAAGGGGCAGGTGGCAGGGCAATGGGTGTTCCCCTCTCTGCCAATATACTGGCATTGCAAGGGCTCAGGGATAGTACCAGTAGGATCACAGAAAGCTCTGACATACATCAGGTTGTAAACCCCAGCAGGCACTGCATCCATTCCACAATCTGTCAGACATCAAGACTGCAATATTTCATGGGCAGCTCAAGCAGCAACTGCCTCCAACACCAAGGCTTGCCCAGACTGGGCTCCAGTCACAAACCTGGATCTGTGTAATTCATATCAAGAGAGCAGGTGCAAACCTTCCCCAATATGCCAATGCAGAGTGTGCATATTCTCTGTATGCCAGCCAGCTCACAGTGCACAAATTCACCAGCTGACCAATGCTGAACACATACAAAATTGAGTTCACGTGGCTCCTGGCTTGCAATGCTGAGTATATGCATCTCCCAGTGTGCCAACACTGTGTGTATCTGTCTACTGGCACACAGAACAGTATGCACATGGCCTGTGACATGTCAACACAGAGCACACACCTCTCAGTATGTCAGTACCTAGTATATTGCCACACAGTGGCCAAAGCAAATGCCAGGATTCAGACCGATTAATATTAGAGGATTAGAAAGGCTAAATTCAGACTTCAGTCCAGGTGCAATTTTATTATTTCATTAAATCTCCAGAGCAAATTCAACCCTGTGTTATATTCTGGGCATCCCAGGGAGCCAGTGGGTTTGAACAGGGCTGTAGTCAGGGCAGAACTTGATTTTAATTCCCTCTGACCTCTGTAACATGACATAAGTATCTATCTATCCATATGTTTTAGGTATGGACATATGTAATCTGCTACCCACCTCTGTAGATCACTTCTCCCTCTGCACAGCCATCCATCCAAGTTCTTGATCACTACCCTTGTATCTGAGTTATTTCTGTTCACCTGTTGAACCTGAGCCATCCAAGGTGCAGCCCTGCTGAGCTGTGTTGCACCACTCCCCACCACCTGCTCCCCCAGAAGAGAACACAGAGAGCCCCACTTACAGGAAGAGGATGATGCCAGTGTTGGCCATGGCATAGGCCAGCCCCAGGATCCCGCTGCCCATAATGGCATTGCTGAGGTTAAACACCGACATCCCAAAGGAGGTCTTCCCTTCGAACTGCATGGACAGAACACAGTGGGTCACACATCACAATCAGCCTCGCCCCAGACTGTGAGCATTGGGATACGCCCCTGTGGAATCAATGTACCCCAATTACCTACCGTACTGAAAGAGTGATGGATTCAGTACACCCCTTCTAACTCCCCATGAAGCTAAGTTTTTATACTGTGCCCATCAGCAGAACCCCATGGCACATTAGCAGTGCCATATTAGCAAACCCCATCCCCAGGCCATTTCCTAAACCATGCTTGTTCTTCCTTTGCAAGACAGCCTGGATTTTAACCTCTAATGCCTCCTCCTCTTCTACTACTTTCTCCCTTCTTCCTCTGTGCTGTTGCTCCCCCTGGTGAATGTGTCAAAGTTTTCCTTCCAGCCCCCTGCCAACCCAGAGGATATGAACTTGCTGCAGGCCTGTCGGGGAATCTCAGCCCTTAGGTCATGCTATAGCTACTTGTGCTTTTGGCTCTGAAGGGCCTGACTGGTGCATCAGCCATGATGGCTGCCAGAGTAATGGAACCAGTCCCTGCCATGGGTACCAGCTGGTGCTCAACCCAGTGCCAAACATGAAAGCACCTGTCCCTTAAACTGAAGGAGAAACTCCATGGGTTGGGAACAGTAGGATGCTTACAACCTCTATCGGTACCCACCTTTAAAGTGGTAATATGTCATAGGTACTGAACCACAGGAGGACTCTCACCCAGAGGACCCTGTAAAATCTTTTCACCCATCTGTGCCCCCTAGAATGGGCCCTGAGGGCACATGTGGGGCGGACTGTACTGGAACTGAATTCCTGTGTCTCACTGGAATGGGCTCTGTGTGCAGCCCCAGGGGCGGAAGGACCAGCCCTGGGTTTGTGAGTCTGTCCTCTCGATCTGCACAACAGACTATGCCTCTGCCTGCTTGGGCCTCCTAAGCCTGTCTCCACTCCTGTCACTGCAGTTAAGGGCACTGGGTCTCTGCCTTGCACAGGAGCCAGGATCTCAGCCAGAAGCACAAGCTGCAGCCTCTACCTCCAGTTCTCTCACCCTTGTCCTGACTTACATCTGTGAAGTGGGTTTGCTTCTTGTCGGGGCCATGAGGCAGGAACTCCTCCATCTCTGCCACGGTGGGCTGGTTCTCATCAAACCTGCAACAAGGTGTTAGGGAGAGAACAGATATAAACTGTCTATTGTGATGCCAATGCTTCCCCACCTGCACTCCCAGGTCAGCTCCTTGCTGCCAGGCTGGCCACTGCCCAGGGCCTTCTCCTCAGGACTGTGGGAAGGAAGGGACCAAGCTACTGCAGCTTTTCCATTGTCACAGGGGTGGAAAATTGCATTGGATCTGGGTTCCCCCAGCATTGTCCCTTCAGGATATTCCCTACAGAAGGAAAGTAGAGCAGGGTGAGTGACCATGGCACCAACCCTGTGCCCTCCACACAGGAGCAGATGGAAGGCTACCTCCAGGGTGAGAAAGCACCATGACCGAGAAGGGAAGCCTAGAGAGAAGAAGTGTCCCTATCTGAGTGCACCAGGCAGATCTGGGTTAGGGGCCGCTGCTCAATCTCTGACTCCCAGGAAGTGAGACAGTTGTACCACAGGGAGGGAAGAGCAGGCATGAGGACACGGTGCAGGCAGGCCAGATGGAGGGGTCACTGGAGCAGCCAGGCTGGGGTGCCAGCACTTGTGCTGTGAAGAACCTCCCTTACCTCATGTTTGGGAATGTGACACTAGCCCACCATGCTCTGGCCACTAGGACACACTGGGCCCATTTACACGTGCGCATTTTACTGCATAGTAACCAAGATTACTGTGCAGCAAATATGGTGACTCATGCCTACTTGAGCATAAATTTGATACCTGCATCACGCAGATATAAAATTTGTGCCCAATTAGTTACTGCGCAGTAATGCACATGTAGACACCTTACTGCGCAGTAACACTGTGTGCGTGGACTGGTTTGGGATTAACTTTAGTCCCAAGTCAGTCCACACACAGTGTTAATGTGCTTTAACACCTGCACATGTAGATGCCAGCCTGTTCCTGCTTACTGCACAGCAAATTTAAGCAGGCATAAATGCATGTGTAGACGCACCTACTGTGGCACCCACAGGGAAGTCTGTGCAAATCAGAAGACTAGGGGTTGGGTAGAAGAGTATCAAAACAGCTAGGAGATGGGGTAGGCCCCATTCATCACTCAGCCAAGGGTGGCCCCCTGCCAGCTCTGCAGGAAGAAGGCTCTGAGGCCTCCTACATCTCGTGGTCAGGGCATTTTCCCTGATATCTAGCCCCAGTTGCTTTGTTGTGTAATTTTGACAAGGCTGAAAAGCCCAGCAGCGATCACAGCCACATTGCACTTGGTGCTGTATGCCTGCACCTGCCACAATCTCAAAAGACTGAGGCAGGGAGTGAGAAAGATCTTGTCCAAGGTCATACAACATATCGATACCCAGAAACAGAGCCCAGGTGTTCTGGATCCCAATCTAATTTTAAGCACCTGCCATTATCCCTGGTGACTTGGCTTTGCCGCAGGCTCTGTAGCTCTTCTCCATCTTGGAAACAGATTCTTTTTAATCTGGACCAAGGCCACTGCCTGCAAACTGCCCTGCTCGGAGGCCTGCTGCTCTGCTCCTGTTCCCTGAAGCTCTTGCTTGGCCAAGCTGGACATATTTAGCCCCATCTCCTTAAATCACCCTCTCCCTCCTCTTCTCTGAACTCTGAGCCATGTACCTTCCCCATTTGAAGGTGCCCAGAACTGTACGTAATGTTCTAGCTGCTGTTTTACCAGAAAGGAATTATTAGCCCCCTGTTCTGTGGCAAGATGTCCCTACAGTGCAGAATCACATTAGCTATCTTGGCAGCCTGTAGCTGAGCCCTGTGGGGCCTGGCACTGGAACAGCATGGGGGAGGAAGGACTGAGAGGCATTAACAGAACTGGGGAGGGAGGGCCCAAGGGGTTCTATATCAGAATTGAAGGGCATGGCCAGAGCTTTGGGAAGAAGCCTAGGCTGCAACAGTTGGGAAGAGAGGGATTCTGACAGAGCTATGCATGAGGAGACCCCAGCAGGTCCAACTTGAGAGACGCAGGAAAGGCTGAAAGGAAAAGGCTGCATAGCACTTGTCCTCCCTGTGTTTGGCTCCATTGTTCCCCACGACTGTCAGGAGCGGGATGGAACTTGGCACCTCTGGATCTTAATGCATGAGCCTCTTTAGCTTGCACTCTGCCAGGTCAGGCTGTAGCAGGCTTATAACAGCCACACTGTCCAGGCACAACCAGAAGGGGCAAATCACCACCCTGAAAAATGTAAGTGACATAAAGACTAGACTCCCCTCTCCTAAACAGAGTGGGGCCATGTCTCTGGAGCAGGTGATGTGAGAATATCTCCATCTCTGGGAGTCTCCTGAGTCCAGTCAGAGCAACCCCTGCCCACCCTGCTGTGCTGTGTTTACCTGTCAGAGGGGATGGCTGAGGCATTCATAGCTGCACTGTGTTTCCCATTGGGCACCAGCTCCACCATCTCTGTCTGGATGGGAATCTCTGTGGAGTCCATCTGTGGCAGCAGGCTTGAGATTGAGCTCACTCTCTCTGTCAGTGCTCCGGGCTGGTGGCAGGAGGGGGAGTTGGATTTACTGCAGATTCAGGTTTCAAGCTCTTGGTCTGGAAAGGAAAGAAAGCTGGGTGGGTTCCTGCCCTTCAGAGACCCTGGGGAATGGCACCTTCCCAAGGGGCCAGTCCAGAAGACCACAGCTGGGCTCATCCCCATCCTGTTCCCAGATGGGTGAGGCCTGAAGTGGTAAGCTGGGCTGTGCAGCACTGTGATTCCAAACAGAAATTTGTCCAGGCCACAGGCCTGACATTATCCAGACCTGCCCAAAATATCCACCTTTGCCCTGACATCCAGATCCAAATGGCACATGTGGAAATGTCAGCAGGGTCACCCAGCAGTCAGCTGGCACCCAGAACCCTCTTCCTTATTTAGATGAGAGCTGAACCAGAATAGTCAGAGGGCCATACACCTCCCTTGGAGTGCTGACTATGGTACACATTAACTGATCTGATCACATCCAGCTGCTAAGGAGATGTTCACTCCACCCTGAAGCCTCCTGAAGGGGGCTTTCCTTTGTAGGAGGCAAGCTCACTGTCTGAGATGGAACAGCTGGAGGGCCAGCTGGTTGATCCATGTGCTGCCAGCATCCCAGGCAGCAGGTACATCTCAGCCTGATCTGCCACATTGTGCCACCTACCCCAAAGTGGAGCTGTACAAAGAACAATCAGAGAGTCATCCAAAGCCATGTGCTGAACCCACAAAACAGCTGATTGCTGGATGAAATATTCCCTGATATGTCAAGCAATGACAAGGACATGGATGATTAGGGCTTGATACTAGAGTTATGAGCCAGGGAGGAATCTTGAAAGTGTATCTGATGTTTCATTCACAGTTGTTTCCGCACCTGAGTTAACATTCACCCGAGTTAATGTTTTTACACCTAAATTAATGTTTTTTAGCTAGAATTAAAAACATTCTGCAGGGCTGTCAAATAGGAGTTACATTACCAAGAGCAGCTAACAGAGGGCAAAATTGCAGAAAAAAAGAACAGTTTGATTAGATTAAGACCATTAAAAAGGAGAGGCTTCCTTTTTAACATCTGTGGAATGAAGAGTTTAGAGAGAATCAGGCAGATTATAATGAGCCATGGAGTCAAGCGATTCCTTCATTGCTGCCTGAACTTTGGGTGGAACAGAAAGCAAAGGAGGGTGCAACTGCACCATTGCACCCCCCACATCTGCCCCGATGGTTACTAAGACACATGTGAGACAGGAAAGTCAAGAGCAGGAAGCAGCGATCCAGACGGAGTCACTAGCCAAGGGTTCTGGAGCATGCAGCCATCACTGTAAGGGACTAGGATATGGGCAATCATTGAACTAAAGCCACAAGCCAGGAGACAGCTATGAGGAGACAAGGGTCTGGTTTGGAGTCAGAAGCAATGAGCTGGTGGTCAGGGACCAGAAACTAGCAGCTAGACATAAATTTGGGCTGCAGCTGGGAGCTGACTAAGGCCTAGGAACCAGGAATAAGGAACATGGAACCAGGATACAGGCAAGGGCCAGGAGCCACTTAGAGAGGCATCTATCCTGTTGAGTAGCCTGAGGAGTACTGGAAGGTCATGGCTACTAATATCCAGGCAGCCACACCTAGGTGGGTAATGATAATGACCAAACAGTGAGTAGTTGGGCTACTAGCAGTCAGGCCTACTCTAGCAATAAGGGTCGGGGTGGCTAAAGCCTGCCTTCTGCTCTGTTTCCTGACAGTACCCCCATCCCTAGAGCTCCTCAGGTTCCATGTGTCTGGATTCCAGGACTTCAGGGTTTTCTAGATTTCACAGTTGGCCAGAAATCCCTATGCAGGTCTGGGATGTGGACAGTCCAGGCTTTCACAGGAAGCCGGACCTGGTCTCCCAGTTCAGGGGAATTAGGCATACTTTCACAGTTCAGGGAAAGACTTTGTTGCTCTGCTGCTCCTCTTAAAGAGGATACTCAAACTGTCAGGGGATGAGTGGGACAAAGACATTAAGGGCTTCATGCTATTGTCATGAGCAGACAAGGTCAGGAAGCAAAGGTCCTAACTAGAGTCAGAAGCGAAGTGATCAGGAGCAAGTAGGTCAGAAGGCTGAAGTCTGTTAGGGACCGAGACATGCATGGTCACTAAGACAGGTCCCAGTGGCATAAGAAGAAGGATCCAGAACTCGGGTTCTGGAGCAAGCAGCTGCAGCTGTAAGGGACCAGGACATGGCCAAATGTTGAACTAAAGCCAGAAGCTGGATGTGAGGAGACAGAAGTCTAGTCTGGAGTCAGAAGCAAGAAACTGGTGATAAGGGTGGAACTAGGAGCTAGACACGGATTCAGGCTACATCTAGGAGCCAAACTAGGAGCTGGGGCAATTGGGAACCACAGAGACAGCAGCTGTAATGAGCAGCAGCTGGGGGAAGGGAGGGGAGGGGGAAGAGCTGCTGAGCATGGAGGCAGAGGGAGGGATGCCAAGAGCTGAGGGAATAGATTCTTACCTGATTCAGGAACTTAAAAAAGTCCCTAGCTGCTGCCTTGGTCTGGTCTGCCCATGCTGGCAGGGGAGAAGCTGGGAGTGGTGGTGCAACCACTCCTGCAGGGCTTGTCAATGCTCCTGCACCCCCTTTACAAAATAATATATCTGCCCATGCTAAAGAGGCACTTAGCCCAGTGCAAAATGTCTTTCTGCTTCTGTTACCCTGCTCC